AAAAAAAAAAAAAAAATCACAAAAACTAGCCGGCCGCGGTGGCGTGCATCTATAGTTCCAGCTACTCGGAAGGCTGAGGTGGAAGGATCGCCTAAGCCCAGCAGGTCGAGGCTGCGGTGACCATAAGCATGCCACTGCACTCCAGTCTGGGCGACAAGAGTGAGACTCCAACTCAAAAAAAAAAACAACAAAATCGCATTTCCAGAACGTGCCCTTTGTTAAGCGATGCGTGGCTGGGCTTACGCAGCTTTTGCTAAGAGCCAGGCACTATGCTCAGCTTTACACATGTTATGGACCCATTTAACCTTTGCAGCAATCCCACAAGATAGGATTTTTTTTTTTTTTTTTTTTTTGAGTTGGAGTCTCACTCTGTCTCCCAGACTGGAGTGCAGTGGCCACTCCCGGCCACCGCAGCCACCACGCTGGGCTCTGGCGATCCTTCTGCCTCAGCCTTCCAAGTAGTTGAAACTACAGGCGTGCGGTACCACACCCAGCTAATTTTTTTATTTATTGTAGAGATGAGGTCTCACCAAGTTGCCCAGGTGGGTCTCAAATTCACTCACCTCAGCCTCCCAAGGCGTGGGATTACAGGCTGAGCCACCGAGCCCCTGCTAAGATAGGATTTTTTGTTTGGGGGATTTGCTTTGCTTTGTTTGTTTTTGAAGTCCACCCCAGCCTCAACCTCCTGGGCTCAGGCAAGCCTCCACCTCCTGAATAGCTGGGATTATGGGCACACACTACCGATCCTGACTAATTTCTTGTAGAGACAAGTTCTCACTATGTTGCCTAGTCTGATCTTGAATTCCTAGGCTCAAGCAGTCCTTCTGCTTCGGCCTCCCAAAGTGCTGGCATGAGTCACTGTGCCCTGAAAGGTAGCTTATTATTAACGCTGTTATCTCCCATTTTGCAAATGAAGCATCAGAAGTTAAGTCACTTGCCCAAAGTCAGTAAGCAAGCAGAGCTAGAATTCAAATCCAGGCCTCCTGGGTCTTAACCACGATTCCCTCAATAGAGTGGACAGAAAGGCGTAGAAAGAGGTTCGCATTGGCTGCCCCTTTCTCACAGAAGAGCCTCTTCTAACAAAAGCAATGCCTATCCCCCGCCGGAGTGGAATGGTGTCCCTACTCCAACCCCAAGATTTCTCGACTTACTCCTGGAAGGCTGGCAACACATTGACCGATTCTTCTGGGGTGGGGCCTTGATACGAGGGGATGGCGTGAGAATGTGGTGAGTACACCTGGGGCCTAGGGAAAGAAAGCAGACACCCTGATGCAGACCCTTCTCCCGGTCACCCCCACACCCTACTTTGGGAAGGGGAACCCCTTTTGTGGAAGGGAAAATCCCCATGCTGGCTCTCCCAGCTGCCCATGCCGAAGCCCGCCTGGACAGACCACTCCCACTCCCATCTCTCGAGATCCTTACACCATGTCTGGGCCGAGCTGCATGCTCATGGAGGAGTCAGAGGCCATTCCAAGGTCATAAGACGGCACCATGGTGGGCATCTGGGGCTCTGGGATAGGAAGTGGCTGGTCCCTGAAGGAGAGACGGAGGCACCTGTGGCTGACCAAGAGCTGACACCACCACTCCTTCCTGTAGGTTGACACCAGCTCCAGGCCTTACCCACCACCCACTCCACCACACTCACCTTTCCACAGTCATCTTGATGGTCGCTGGGACATAACCCCGGCCATCCTTACCCATCTGTTCAGCTGTTGCAGGAAGGAAAGGAGAGCCATGGAGTGCTCTGGAGTTAGGGGGACGGACAGGGGAGAGGTGGGCATGGCTGATGGGCAGGTAGGAGGGTGGGGCTATGAGGTGGGGAGAGGGATGGGAGAGGGGGCAGGGAGCAGGGAGAAGGTGGGTGACAGGAAAGAATCAGAGTTGCCAGCTCGGCTCACGCTTATAGTGGCTCCGGAAAGCCTCATCCTTGGGTTTCTTGGGGTAGAGGTTTTTGAGCTGAGCAAGATCCCGGATTCGGTCCCCCAGTGAGCGAATGGACAGGTCTTTGGCAGAGAATGGCTGAATGTTCTCTATCTGTGGGCACCCTGTGATAGGAATGAGACCCTGAGATCCCTCTATCCTGACTTTCTTCCCCTTCCCCAGCCCCACTTCAGGACCCATTCTCAGTCCACCATGACAAGGGAGATCCAGAGGAAGGGAGGCCCAGTAGTTGCCACTCCCACAGAGCTTATGGTGAGAGGGTGGAAGTTTAGACCACATAAGGAAGAGGAGAAGTTGGATCTAAGGAAGAACTTCCCAAAGATCAGGGTTGGCATCAGGAAAACCGGGACCTTTCCTTCCCAGAAGAAACCCCAGAGGACACAGGCACAGAGGCAGAGGGCTGGCCGGGGCGATCTCACCATCCTGGCCCCGGATGACATGGGCAATGGTGATGCCCCCAATCTCTGAGTCGCTGAAGCGGAGGAGAAAGGTTCCATCGGGCTCATTGAGAAGAAGGTTAGTGACATACTGCTTACTGATGAAGCCAATGATCAGCCTGGCCAGGATGGAGGAGAGGATGGGGCGTGGGCACCGGGTGCGGACAGGGAGCCCAAAGTACAGCTGCCCAGTCACCTGGGGCAGAGACTCACCGGTCTGACCAGTAACTCCGGAGACAGCGTTTGGTGAGGTCCAGGACACCATCGAACCACTGCCAAAAGGTGAAGCCTCTGCCCAGCAGGATCTCCTGTGGGGGACGGGGACAGCTGGCGTGAGGGGGGTGGGGAGGGCCAGAGCTGGAGTCTGGTTAGGGCAGACACTAGCCTGTGAGTGCTCACACACTAGAATCCCAGGTTGGAGGCACCAAACTGGACCTGAGTGTTCATCAGTGACAATGGCCAACACTCATGCTTACCATGTGCCAGACCTATTCCAAGCTTTTCTGTATATTAATTTGATCTTTACAAAGCTGTGAAAGTAGGTACTAAAACAATTGCATTTTGCAGATGAAGAAACAGAAGCCCAGAAAGGTCAAATGCTGGTCTCCCCAGCTGGTGAAAGGCAGAGTGGGGATATAACCCAGGCAGTGTATACCCCCTCCCTAAAGGTCTGGCAGAGGCGAAGTCCAGAAGGTGACTCACTGGCTGCAACTGTCCTGCTCCCTTTGCTAACACCTCCTCTGGTCCCGTGGGCATTTCTTTCTTCCCTTTTCTGAGTTGGAGTCTCACTCTGTCGCCCAGACTGGAGTGCAGTGGCCGCTCCCAGCCACCACAGCCTCAACCTGCTGGGCTCCGGCGATCCTTCCGCCTCAGCCTTCCAAGTAGCCGGAACTACCGGCGCGCACTACCACACCCGGCTGATTATTTATTTATTTATTTATTTATTTTGAGTTAGCGTCTCACTCTGTCGCCCAGACTGGAGTGCAGTGGCCGCTCCTGGCCACCACAGCCTCAACCTGCTGGGCTCTGGCGATCCTTCCGCCTCAGCCTTCCAAGTAGCTGGAATTACAGGTGCACGCTACCACGACCGGCTGATTTTTTATTTATTGTAGAGATGAGGTCTCACCAAGTTGCCCAGGCGGGTCTCAAACCCGCGGGCTCAGGCAATCCACTCACCTCAGCCTCCCAAAGGCGCGGGATTACAGGCTGAGCCACCGAGCCCGGCTTAATTTTTTATTTATTGTAGAGACAGGTCTCGCCAAGTTGCCCAGGCTGGTCTCGAACCAGGCAATCCACTCATTTCGACCTCCCAAAGTGCTGGATTACGGGCTGAGCCACCGAGTCTGGCTAAATTCCTGGTTTCAAGTCATCCTCCAGCCTCAGCCTCCCGAATAGCTGGGTAGGACCACAGATGTGCGCCACCATGCTTGGTTAAATATTTTTTAAAAATTTTTGTAGAGATAGTGTCTCTCTGTGTTGCCCAGGCTGGTCTTGAACCCCGCCTCAAGCAGAACCTTCCACCTTTGCTTCCCAAAGCACTGGGATTACAGCCCTGTGGGATTTTATCCAGTTTTTGCAGTAGGAACTATTTTTTCTTTTTTTTCCTTTTTCTTTCTTTCTTTTTTTTTTTTTTTGAGTTGGAATCTCACTCTGTCGCCCAGACTGGAGTGCAGTGGCCGCTCCCGGCCACCGCAGCCTTGACCTGCTGGGCTCCGGCGATCCTTCCATCTCAGCCTTCTGAGTAGCCAATACAGGCGCGTGCTACCACGCCCAGCTAATTTTTTGATTTTTTTGTAGAGATGAGGTCTCGCCTGCCCAGGTGGGTCTAGAACCCGCGGGCTCAGGCAATCCACTCACCTCAGCCTCCCAAAGGCGAGGGATTACAGGCTGAGCCACCAGCCCAGCTGGAACTATTTTTCAATGGGTCAAAGTCATTCTGAATCAGAGCTCTGTTTACATGCAATCTGAGTAAGTCATGCAGGCACTGGTAAAGAGGAAAGACAGAGGGCCCTAGGCTAAAATCTGAAGGATGCCAGAGAGTATGCTGTCTGGGCCGGCCCTCAGAACTGAGGGGTTTTCCTGCCTGGGCCATGACAGAGACCTTCCTCATGGACATGATGAGGCACCGTGAAGTCCCGGGTGGAGGCTGGACAGGCCCTAAGTGCCCAGGGATGAAGAGCTTGGAGATGTGAGGTCTGACAGGCAGGGGAATGACCTTGTTGAACTGTGACCAGGACACAGAACGATGCTGGAAGGCCTCCATGCTGAGGCTGTTGTCGTTGAAGATCTTCTGGGCCAGGAAGAGGAAGTGCTCTGGGAGCAGCCCCCGGTTGGTTCCCACTTCAGCCATGAACTTGAGGTTCAGAGTTTCACACATCTTCTCCCAGGGTACTCGCTCAGCCACCACAAAGGGCACCCGGTCCTGGGGTGCAGGGGGAAGGAGAGAACACCTCAGGCTATCATCTGGGCCTTCTCTCCCGACCTGCCTGAAGCCTACCCCTCCCCAGCACTGTCACCCTGCACTTATTCACAAACATGGCGCTTTTTCTTTTTTAGTTGGAGTCTCACTCTGTCGTCTAGACTGGAATGCTGTGGCATGTTCACCGCCACCTCAGCGTCAACCTGTTGGGCTCAGGCGGTCCTTCCACCTCAGCCTTCCAAGTAGCTGGAACTACAGGTGTGTACTACCACGCCTGGCTATTTTTAAATTTTTTTTAGGTCTTGCCAAGTTCCCCAGGCTGGTCTCGAGCCTTGGGCTCAGGCAATCCTCTCGCCTCAGCCTCCCAAAGTGCTGGAATTACAGGCTTGAGCCACTGTGCCCAGCCTCTTTTTTTTTTTTTATCGGAGTCTCATTCTGTCACTCAGGATGGAGTGCAGTGGCACACTCATGGCTACAGCAGCCACGACCTGCTGGGCTCAGGTGATCCTTCCACCTCAGCCTCCTAAGTAGTTGGGACTCCAGGCATGTGCCTCCATGCCCAGTTAATTTTTTAATTTATTGTAGAGACGAGGTCTTGCCAAGTTGCTCAGGCTGGTCTCAAACCCCTGGGCTCAAGCAAGCCTCTCACTTTTGCCTCCCAAAGTGCTGAGATTACGGGTGTGAGTCCCACTGCATTTGGGCTCTTTTTTTTTTTTTTTGAGTCGGAGTCTCACTCTG